CAGAGGAGGGGGCAGGAAGAATTGAGAGCTGGAGGCTATGGAGGAACCCTGTGAAATGCTGTCTCCTGGATATGACCTGACTAATGGACTCATGAACTCAAGCAAAGATTGGGTGAGACTCAAAAGACCCACCTAGCCAATGAGCTATTAGCAGTTGACGGCTGCCGCTGCCGCGGAAAAGAGAGTGGTTATTCTTTTGGTAGTTTTCAAGCTCCAGTAGATGGGCCTCAGCAATGAGCATGTGGACAGGCAGCACTCACTGGGCTTAGCGGGTTACTCAAGAGAGTAAGAAAAAGAGGACAGGAAGTGGGAAGAAGACATGTATGCTGAGTGGGGTCTGAGGAAAGCTGTGGGTGAGCAGAAGGTGAACACAGAAATACACTGTATATACATGTTATGAGATCCTCAAAGAATAAATGAAATATTATTAAAAAATATATATCTTTTTTGGTTTTTTCAAGACTGTGTTTCTCTGTATAGTTTTGGTATCTGTCCTGGATCTTGCTCTGTAGACCTGGCTGGCCTTGAACTCACAGAGATCCGCCTGGCTCTGCCTCCTAAGTGCTAGGACTAAAGGTGTGCGCCATCACTGCCCGGCTAAAATATTTTTTAATTGCTGGGTGGTGGTGGTACCAGCACTTGGAAGGCAAAGACAGGCATAGCTTTGTGAGTTCGAGGCTAGTCTGGTCTACAGAGTGCGTTCTAGGACAAACAAAACTACACAGAAAAACCTTATCTCAAAAAAATTTTTTTTTTTAAAAAATGAATAACAGAAAATCAGAATACATGTAATCTTTGAGATATGCTCATAGTAATGCTGATGTAGTATATGTATACATTACAAAAGAAGGTCTAAAGGTTTAAAATCAATAAACTATATGTTCATCTGAAAATGAGACTAGAAAAGACAGAGCAAAGTGAACTGAAGAAAATAAAAAATTGTACTTAGTAAAATAAATATCAGAAAACAGAAAAATCATCAAAATGAAAGCTTTACTAACAAAACTGGTAACTATAGCTAGAATGATGAAAAGAGAGGGCACAATGACCAGCACCAGGGTATCACTGTAGAGACTATAGACAGACGATACAGACACACTGGATAGCAGGCAGAGGTTATAGATGGACCAATGGGCAGATGATTACAGACGATACAGACACACTGGATAGCAGGC